TGCTGAGAGAAGCTCATTGCACAATCTAAGGTTACCCCCAGGTATTTTACCTCTCGGACCCACGGTATTGGGTTGCCGTAGAGGGAGATCGTACCTGTTTTATATTTTTTAATCTTTAACAGTAAGTTGTTATAATAACGCCTTCTGTTGAAGAAGATGGCTTTGCTCTTATCGGGATTCAGTTCGATTCTCCATTTTCTGCACCAATCTCCTAGTGCGTTTGCTGCAGCTTGGAGTCGACTGCAGATTGTAATGGGATGGAAGTCTGAAGAGTAGATGGTAGTATCATCCGCGTATAGTGCGAGATGAGTACCTACTATCGATGGGATGTCACTTGTGTAAAGTGAGTACAGGGTCGGAGAGAGCACCGAACCCTGGGGAACTCCTGCTCTGATTGATCTGGAAGAGGAGAATGTACCCTCCACGCGAAAACGGAAGGATCTATTTGTAAGAAAATCTTGAACGATTTTGACAAGTCTTAAGGGCACCCCTGTATGGATAAGTTTGAAAACTAGACCATTGTGCCAGACTTTGTCGAAGGCCTTGGCCACATCGAAGAACAGTGCTCCTGTGTAAACAGGGCGCCTGTTCGCCCTTGCAGCCTGATCTAAAATGTGCTCCGTGAGGCGGTGCACCTGTTGAACACTTGAGTGTTTGGCTCGAAAGCCAAACTGTTCGTTTGGAATTAGGTTCTTACTTAGCACTGCATCCTTCAGACGGCTGAGGATGATGCGCTCATAGATTTTCCCCATGGCACTGAGGAGACTGATAGGTCTATAGCTAGAAGCTCTGTCTCTAGGTTTGTTCGGTTTGTGAATACCGATTACTTCTGCTTCTTTCCACACTTGTGGGAAGGTGCAGGTGGACAATAGAACATTGAAAATAGCCACTAGAAGGCAGATCAATTTTGGGGGAAGAGCTTTAAACACTTTGTTATTTATACCGTCGGCGCCTGGCGCTTTTCGAGGTTTGAGATTTTTGATGATGGTTTTCACCTCATCAAAAGTAACGGGAGGGAGTGGATCATCCGTTGGTGGGGTGGCGGACAAATTGGCCGCTTCCTCGTCCACCTTGTTCAGGTGGACGGGGTCGATTGGCAAGGTGCTTGGAGAGCATTGGCTCTCGATGCTATCCGCCATGCACTCGGCCTTCTCCGAGTCGTCGAACGCTAACTGACCATCAGATCTAACTAATGGGGGCATCGAAGCGACATTTTCTGATTTAAGAGATCTCGCCAGCTTCCAGAAGGCTGTATGCGAGGGCGAGATATCTTCCATCAGATTGTCCCATCGTGACTCCCTCAGCTGGGCCATGCGCTCCTTGACCTCTCTACAGAGGCGGCGCAGATTGGACCTATTATTGTCTGTTAGGCCCTCACCGCAGCGTTTTTCTCTCTCAGTAATCGCCGTACATCCCCTGGGAGCTCAAAACGACGATCGTTCGACGCCTTTAGCCGCCTCGAGGATTCCTCGGCAACCACCTTTATGTGAGAGGAGATGTGAGAGATGGCTTCTAAGGCCACTTCTTTAGTGTCTATAGCGTCTGGCACTTGATCTAAATATTCTGTGTTCATAGTTTCGAGGTTGGCCTCGAACCTATGCCAGTCCGTAACAGTTTTGGTTGTAAGAACCTCATTGCTGGACTGTCCTAACGACATTATAACCGGACGGTGGTCCGAAGTTAACTCATGCACCACTTCTATGGAGCGTAACGTTAAGGTTACGTTCCTGAGTAGTGCTAAGTCGATTTTAGACGGATTATGAGTTCTATTCGTTGAAAAACTAGTGTCCTCCGGAGAAGCTATTATATTGAACTCTAGGCTATCACTAAGTGCAAATAAGTCATAGCCGTTGATGTTGTTCTTAACTTTCCTATTATTAGTCCAGACTTGATGTTTGCTATTAAAATCGCCTGCTAATATGACCGAATTACTAAGGTTAAATAGAGCTTCAAAATCGCTCTTTACTATCTTTTTATTGGGAGAGAGATATACAGAGGCTACCGTGATCGGTTGATGACCGGTCATGGCTACTCTGCAAACGGAGGCCTCTAGATCAGTTAATTGAGGCGTGTCTATGGGAACTACATGTAGGGACGACCTATAATAAGAGTCCCTCCTAATCTATTCCCTATACGATCGTTTCTAATTACTCTGTAATTGGCTATTTTTGGGTCTTTAATGCTAGGCTTAAGAAAAGTCTCTTGCACTAGCAATATATCAATCTGATGATCAGTGAGGAAGGTTCTGACTTCGTCAATTTGATTTTTAAGGCCGTGCGCATTGAAGAAGGCGACAGCTATCGATCTAGGTTTTATTCTAGCTGTACTTGTATTATCCATTTAGAAGAATAAAACCGAGCCAAATTAACAGTAGGCAAGAACTTCGGACCTAATTGGCCCTGAAGTTCTTTATCGCCTCTATTACCTCCATGTGGTCCAGGGAGGCCTGGAGGCGCTCTTTAGCAGAGCGCGCCGTCCTAATCTTATGCGCTAGAGTACGCAGTTCATTTACGTCAAAACTGTCTACGAAGTCGCAGACAAGGTTGACATCCTCAGCTAACTCCTCCATGGCCGGGGAGTGGGTCGATTTGGTCACCGCTTTGGGCGTTGGCTCCTTTCGCGGGGCACGGGCGACTGAAGGTGCCGGTGCGCACGCGGGAGTGGGAGCAGGAAGAGAGGTGGGCACCCTCTTTTGTGCACCACTGGCCAGGCTTAGCGGCTTGGCCCAAGCACTTTGCTTGGGAGCCGGAGCCGGAACGAAGGCAGGGGGAGAGGGACCACCCTTTTTGGGGGGGTCCTGTGCTCCCTTCTGCTTGGGGGGCTGCTTGCGACCCCCGGCGTTTCTTCCCCTCGGCTTTTGTGCCTTGGGGGCTGCCACGACGTTTTATATTTATAGTGCTGAGGCGGGGGGCAGGGTCCTCAGCCTAAAGTTGTTGAAAAACAAAGTTTAAACTTTTTAGTATGTAGAAAAATTGTTATGTATGTCTGTTCGTTAGTTTGTAAGAAATATAACCAATAAAGAAAGGCGCGGGGGTGAGGCAAGGGTCCGCTGGCCAGCAACGGCCAAATCATATATAAGACGGGCCGGCCGGAACGGTCGGCAGTCGCTCTCCAGCCACCGAAAGAAGACAACAGCAAGGAAAAAGTACAAGTTCCTCCTCACCGCCGCTTGGCTCCAGTTTAAGCAAGACCAGCGCGTTTTTATTCATTTTTCGAACGGCGTTACGGCGATCCGTAACATATATAATACATCACCGTCTTATATTAATTATAATTATATATATATATATATATATATATATATTTACATGACTTATTATTATTGTATTCTTTTTGATTCTCTTCGTCAGATTCGATTCCTTCGAACTGAAGTACATCGTCCTTGCACATTACTGTCCAGTAATTATTTGTCTATCTCGGAGTTACTGAAAAATAAATAGAAGCATAATAGTTTAAATTATATTTCATGGCTAACTAACGCGGACGAAGTCGTGGGTGAAAAGCTAGTTTACCTATGTAATTCGGTTCATCGTTTAAATTTCTGTGAGAGCGTAGTCGTTCCCCGGTCAAGCCGACCGACTCGTATACTACTAATATAGCTGCAGCATGGCTATACCACGTATAAAAATTTTACTAATCAAATCTTTGTATCTCGAAAATTTTAGCATTTTCCTTGGAATCATCGGAATTCCACTCGGAATCCCCGTACGGTAGTGCTCTCTCGCTCTCGCGCCTCCGCTGTCCTGCTCGCGCTGTACAGCGTCGACGCTTTGGTGAGTCATTTTCGCTAACAGCTCTTGCCCCCTGTCTTCGGGAGGGGTGGTTTGACTGACCTCCGCTTATTATTGTTTTAATTGTTATTTTTTATTGTTGATTTTTGTTATTTCTTTTGCCATTCTTTTGTTTTTCTTATATTGTTATACGTGTATATTGTCTCGTAGTACGTCTCGTGTTCAAGTAAAATTGCCTAGCATTTGTTGGTTTGAAGAATTGCATTCAAACTGAGATATAGCAGATCTGGAAACTCTGTAAAATGCTTCTAAAGCCGCATATCCACCAAAGTTTTGTTGCCAACAAAACTTGTTTCCATTTTCGGCAGCACCATCAAAGGAATACGCTTGTTGCCAACATTTGTTCCCTCGGTGGAGACGCTTGTTGGAAACATAACAGTTGTCAACATTTTTGATGGATACGCGGCTTAATGTGTACAAAAAATCTCCAACAGCTAGATATCGCAGAGTGATTTCTAATTTTATTTTAGCAGGAATAACATTTCGTAGATGTGTATCATGTTTTTGTATAGAATTTTCGATTTCCAGAGTAGGGTATCTAACTGATGCGGTAAGATGCGTAAATGATTTTTGTAGCCCTCGATATCTTCTTTTCGTATTTCTACCAACAAAGAATTACTTGCTCCAAGGTTTGCTCTTCTAGATAGTCAATCTCTCACCCAAATGGTCTTATTTCTTCTTTTTCGTTGTCGTGTATACAATAAGTTTTGGGTACATCGAATCGCAAGCAATAAACATGGTATTGTTGAGTTCGGTATGGATTGCCATTTGCCTGTCCATGACAGTAAATAGCAAGTGTACTGGATTGTTTTCTTGAAGCATGCTTATTCAGGAATATGCTTAAAACTAGCGTGCCTTTTGTTAACAAATGTAAACAGTTCAAAAGCATGCTTATTTTAAGCATACTCATATGCATGCTCACTAGTGTGCTACTAATGAGCATGTCTATCCGTAGCTTTAATAATTTATATTGAAGTTGGTTGTGCAACATTTTTAATTTTACCAGTTGTTTAAAGTTGGCTCTGCAGCACTAGTGTGTCTATGGGCCATTGTAGTCACTTATCATCAGGTGATTAACAGAATTGTCCTCACTTAAATTATCAAAAGTATCAAAACCAAAGAAATAAATTATCAATTTACAATTGCACCAGACTAAAGTGAATGGCTGGGACTTAGGCTTAGACTTATCATCAAACATTTACATAATCCTCACCTGCCAACATCAATTTTTCCAAATTTCAAATTATCCAATCTGTAACTAGCAGACAACTCTGCAAACACAGGTGCGAAGTTCACACAGGCAGGATGCCAAGCTGCATACAGGCATATGATCCACATGATGTTCTTGTGACATTTCAAATCATCTTCTAAGGTCTGGAGACCACGGAAATAGGTGATATGTTCTGAACCTGTATATGTTGGTTCTGGGAGGAGCAAGGCAGCCAGGATGAGGATAGCACCATAAGGAAGTCCATACCTGAAATTTTGTTCACACACATAAGTAAAAATTTGTAGAAAGTTGAGAAATAAAACAAATAACATATAAAATATTTTTGCAAATAATGAAATAACTTTAAGCAAGTGAATGAGATGTGGTATAAGATTTTAGTTTATCCAAATCAGATGCAAATTATGAAGTGTTAGATAGTTTGTGCTGTGATTGAATACTAGCATCAAATAGCAGATTAATGTTGCTGTGTTTTATATGGTGAGTGTGAAGAACCAGAGACTCTTTTTACTGATAGCAAGGCAGTCCGCCTTAGTCCTCAGGGCTGACAATGCATCTACATTTTTAATGTAAATTTTTTTTTTTTTTATAAAAATAAGGGTGACAAGCGAGCACACAGTCCACCTGCTGTTAAGTGGTTGCTGTGGCCCATAGACATCTACATCTATTGTTGTTTGCAAATTAAAATGCAGTTGCATTGTCAGCCAAGAGGACTAAGATAGAATGCCTCTTTTCCAGTAAAATGGGTCTCTGGATCTCTACACTCACCATATGAAACACAGTAGCATTAAGCTGCTATTTTACGCTGGTATTCTGTGAGAGCGTAGTCCTTCCCCTGTCGAGCCGACCCATTCATGCTACAACTATATTATTAATATAGCTGCAGCATGGCTCTACCATGTATAAAAATAAAGGATAAATATAGAGGTACATGGGCCGCATCATTCACCCACCATCAGCTGCACTGTGTACTCGTTTGTCACCCTTATTCTATAAAAAATACTATATGCATACCATGTAAGGTAATCAATCACTCATGCAATGGAAATGAGGATTTACCCCTGTTCAGCTACTTCATAACTTCACAGTTTTAAATTTTAATTTCTTTTTATAGAATAAGGGTGACAAACAAGCACACAGTTCACCTGATGGTAAGAGTATGCTGAGATCCATAGGCATCTACAACCCACGTTCTCTTAGAATAGAATATTTTTTATTTAATATAGTTTACAAAAATATTTATTCAGTCAAGATACTTCTACGACAGTCATTTATGCTCATTTTATAAATAAGAATTAAAAATCAAATGCATTGTCACTTGTGAGTGGGGTTGCCACCTGTACTATAATATATAGTATCATACTATATTTCAGTCAATTGTACTATATATTATAGAAAAATAATATAGTACGAAAAATACTATATTTTTCCCCTAATTCAACTGTTGCTGTTCGCGCAAAACGTTGATGTCGGAGTCGACACCAGATGTCACTCGGCTCGGCGCGATTCCGGTTTGAACTTCGGCTGGGGCGTGGCACGAGCGCGCGAGTCGCGAGCGAAAAGTCAGTCGTCTTTAATCGGTGCTGACGTGAGCACGCGGTCCATTCTGTTAGGGAACTCGGAATAATTCGGCGCGGCCAGTAAATATACGGTCTATCATTGTGACGCGCATTCCTACTGGAGAGCTTCCCGGGACTTATTGTGTCTGACTCAAAACCTGCATAAGTGCATTCGGCAATATTAGATAGTGCGGCCTCTGATTCTAGAATTAACTATTGCTACGCGAAACGGTAGTGACCTTTGACCCTTTAAACTCCGTGTGCGTTTGTGCGGTAACCATTATACCCGGCGATAGTTAGTGGCATCTGTAAGTTAGTAAATCGTACGATAGAGTAAATTGACTGTCAACGTGACGAAAGAAGAAAGTGACTGTGGATAACCTCGAAAGGCCCCCTCAAGTGGGAGCGGTGTCGACGCTCGGGCTGCTGCCGACGGCCAAGGTCTAGGTTCAATCACCATCAGTCACACCCAGATACACACCACATCACCATTCTTTCCCTTGCACTACACAACCACATGTGACCTGACCGACTCCGGAGGGACCAGTCGCCTTGGATAGGTAAGTAAGCTTCATCCAAATTCCTTCCGGTCGACTGGCCGTAGTATAACGCTCCCCCATATATTTTAATGTAATTAGGAACTTCCACGTGGCCACATTAAGGCCCGACCTACGTCTGTTCGGGAGGTCTTCAGCTCATGGGCCCCTGAAGATTGGATCCTTTAAGGGAGCAGCCGTAGGCCGTAACAAACTGGTAGCAGAGCGTGGTTCCGGGTTCGATTCCCCGGTCGATCCCGACCATAGTGTTTGATAAACATTAAACAATTCTGGTGGCAGGGAGCGTTGGTTTGATTGGGTTAATTTGTATTTACAATCACGCCCGTCCGTAATACGTAAAAATATTTTTTTTTGTACGTAATAATAGAATTATTTTCCTTTGTTCTTTGTTGCTTGCCTTTTTTTGGTTAGTGGGTAGATTTGAAAAGCCGCGCCCTAGGTTGCGCAAGCGGGAGTTTTCTAGAGATATACGTCATGTAGTTAGATGGTTATTTTTACGTAATCGGTTAATTATCGTTGTCGGATAGTTGTAGTGGATTACTTATCGAAGGTTCGATTTCCGAGCTAGGCATTTTTTGTTGATCGACCGTGATGTGTATCTTCGTTTATACTGTAAGTTGTATTTGAACTAAAGAGTAGTAATTGTATTTACGCAATTTGAATTTAACTTGATTTGATCGCACTAGTATTTGTTATTTGTTAATTTGATTTGTGCCTTTTCTTTTGTGCTAACTTGTATTTAGTTGATACGTAGTAATTCGTATTTGTGTAATTTCTATTCAACGCGATTTGATAGAAACTGCATTTATTAACTGTTAATTTTTGTTGTATTTTTTGTTTGTTATCTTTGTAATTTGTGCTCGAGCCGCGTCGTAATTTGTATTTAATAGTGATGACATCGCCCAAGCTACTGATCCGTTGTTTACGGACTGAGCTACGCTGGGCCACAAGCGCCCATGCTTTGATAGGTCGACCGGATAGGGTCCATAACTTGATCAAGCAGTTCGAGCAGGTGGATGCTCGAAGGGCCGCAGTGGAGGAGGCTTACGCTGAGCTCGAGGATTCGGATGTGGAGAAGGGAGTCCTGGACTCTTGCTTTGCGGACTATGAGCAGTTCTTGTGGCTCACGGACGAGTTGATCGAGGCTGAAGGCAGGTATGCCGAGGAGGCGCGTGAAGCTCGGACGAGTAACCTGCCCGAGTCCTCTCTGAAGCAGCTTCAGCCGGAGCTGTTGGGACGACTCCCAACTCTGGACCTGCCAAAGTTCTCCGGGGTCCTTTCCGAATGGCGGACCTTCGTTGGTCTTTTCGACAGCCTAGTGGACGCACGGAGTAACTTGACCCCGAGACAAAAGATGGCGTACCTCCTGGCCTCACTGGAGGGGGAGGCCCTGGGCGTCGTCGGCCACTTGAAATTGTCGGACGACGCCTACCAGACTGCTCGGGACCTCCTAGCCAGAAGATACGCCAACATCCGGCGAATTGCAGACGAGCATGTTAAGCAGCTTCTAAGCCTCCCGCTGCTTAGTGACTGGGCCAGACTGCGTCCGGACCTGTTGGATCCAGTCTTGGTGGCCTGTAATACGTTGAGGCGGCTGGGTTTACCAGTGGGCGAATGGGCCTTTTTGTTGCTCCGCATAGTGCTGTCCCGTCTACCTCTCGACCTTCGAATCCATTTTGAGGAGAGGTACGGCGGGGACGAGGCCTCCTATATTCCGCCCTTCTATGACCTGCTGCGGTTTTTAGAGGAGCAGTGCCGGCAGATCGAGAACGCGGCGGGCACCGTTGACGACTTACGAGAAGTGCCCAGTGAGAGGCTGAACCCGTCAGGCAAGTCGTCGTCAACCCCCCCCCTGCTCCTATTGTCGAGCATCTGATCACCGGGTAACGTTGTGCCCGAAATTATTAGGTAAGCCGGTTCCAGCGAGGCGAACTATCGCCAAGGAGCGCCGCTGGTGCTGGTCATGTCTGGGAGGGCACCTCCAGCGAGACTGTCCGCATCGACGGCCCTGTCTGCATTGCCAGGGCAATCATCATGCCGTTTTGTGCCTGAGTGCGAACGGCGTCTCCTCTCAGCCACGCCCTCTGCCGGGCGACTCTCGGCGCCCGCCGGCCAGCCATCAGGCCCCTAAGTTTGAAAGGGGTCCCTCCCCCGACCAGTCGGGGGGTAATTCCCCCAGGGGCGGGGGTGTCATCACCCCCCCTAAGCGTGTGGAGAGGAACTTCATGGCCACTCATCGGTCCGCTGGACCCTTCTCACTCCCGTTAGCTGAGTGGCCGCGACTGGTGTACCACTGTTCCCCATTTGATGGAGGTGGCCCTGGCTAGCTGCCGCCTTAGCTCCCACCACGGCCACCTCCACTGAGCCTTAAGCCGTCAACAGTCCACTTGTCAAAATGTTCTGTTGCCGACGGCCTCAGTGAAGGCGTACAACCCGAGTGGCGACTGTTAGCGATCTCGGGTTCACGCCATGTGGCCTCCCCTTGGTGGTGGGAAGATTAGGGCCCCTCTGGAGCGTTGAATCACGCTGTCAAGGGGTATTAGATTTGGTTTGGTCGAGCACTTAGTCAAAAAATACTTGGATTAAATTAAAAATTGCTTTGGGCTTTCCGCGAAATTTTCCTATTTGTAGCGGTTTAAATTAAAAGAATTGAATTTAATCTACTCCTTTAAATGCTACTGCATGTGTTTTGTACATATATTTAATCACTGTATTTGATTGTTGCGTCTGTTTGCTGAAAGGAAAATTTGAATTCATCTGAAATTGAATCGCGCACTATATGAAAAATTATGTTTATGTTTATGATAGTGTTTAATCATTTTGCTTTGCGAAGAAGTAGGGCTGTCCCTTACGTTATTGTTTTTGTTTAATTTGCAAGTTGACCTATGCGTATCGGTGATTAATTTGGTTGAATTAATTCTGTAGTTGAACATTGATGCTTTTGAAAAATTAGTTGAAATATGAGCATAGGACTACTTGCCTAACAGGCTAGCTAGTTTTGGAGATTATCAGATTGAAATCAGCTGCCGCACTATTTTAGTAAATGATAATATGGTGGGTGGCCTGGCTAGGCCTACTTGTTGAAAATTCATACTAGGGACTATCTGTGCGTTTCGTTTGGCTCTCCACAGAC